GGGGCTGCCCCAGCCACCGGCCAGCTTCGAGAGCGGCTTCAGCTCCCCCGGGATCACCGGGAAAGGGGCCGCACCGCCACGTTTCTTCTGATATTTCAAAGGTTCGACAGAAAATGAGATTAAAGGAGGGAGTCGTAGGACCCGTAAACAGTCCGGTGAGAGCCCAGAGCCCAGCCCTGCCGTGGGGACGGTTCCTCCTGACGGCTCTTTCTTGGCCCGTGGAGAAGTGCAGCCGGCAGCTGTTCGGCTACGTTTCCCAGTTATTTGTAAATAATGCTAAATATTTGTTAAATGTTCAATAGTGTTAGTCTGAGAAATAAATAACAAATAGTAAATAATAAATACTACTAGTAGTAAATAGTAAATCATAAACTGTGGATGGTAAATAATAAACTGTGGATGGCAGATGAACACTAAAAAGTAAATTAGTGAATAAATAGTAAATAATAAATTACAAACAGGAAATAACTAACAAATAATAAATATAAATGGCATGTAACAAATAATAAATATAAATTGCAAATGACAAGTACAAACAGTAGATAAACTAAACTATAAATAGAAAATAATAAATAGCAGTTGTTGTTGTTACTAACATGATAAATACAGTTGGCAGCTGCTGCTTGGGGAAGCTCCGTTCTGCTGGGCGGGCAGGGATGTGCACGAGGCCGGGGGCCGTGGCTCCTGACGGCAGCTCCTGACCGGGGGGTCCTGGCGCACCCAGGGACAACCAGTGTGGTGACAACGATGATTGTTGGACTGAGCGCCCGGTTCTTCGTGTCACCTTGTGGCAGTCGCTTGGGCATCAAAACCTCCGATTCTGCATCAGGCTTGGCAGTTAACTCCCGCTGATGCGGCGACAGCTGTGCTGGGGACATAGGTGACAAGTTCCCTCACACCAATGTCCCTAAATGCACATTTTGGCATCATTTTAAATCACAGAATCACAGAATGGTCGGGGCTGGAAGGGACCTCTGGGGTCACCCAGCCCAACCCCCTGCCCAAGCAGGGTCACCCAGAGCAGGCTGCACAGGACCG